ATTTTTTCAGCTTAGTCCAAATAACCAATTCCACAATTTTGAGGAGTCCCAATACCAAGAGATAAAATGAGGTCTCAAAATTTGAGCGAGTCCTGCAGGAGTCGAGGACTCAAAATCTTAATCTCAAAAATGATTGGTAACCACAGTAGCCACACATTACTTCTTGATGTTAGAATACTACTTGCTGTAAAAGCTTGTTACTGGAATATTAAATTTCAATAAAAATTGGTTTATGATTTTTCTAATAGTGGTGGGTTTATCAGGCATGGCTGATTGTCAGATATATTTTTTTACCAATATTCATATGCCATTGTATGTGTATCATATTAAAAAAGTCTTTAATACCAGACATATGAAGAATGAAATTGATAATTAAATTTGATTGATCAATGATTGGCAAATAATTTAAAAGTCAAAATTTACAAGTTAGATATTCTAAGACATTGTAGATAGATATAAGCAATGAGGTGAAACATCTGTTAGATCTTGGTGATTATACAATGAAGTTATTCAGATTTAGAATGGCTGATGCCGGACTAGGATTCATTGTTGATTATATGTTAAATCTATTCCTTTATTGAATGTTGATCTGTGAGAAATATTATTTATCATAATGAAATTTATTTTCAAATTATGTAAACTATATATATATATGCATCAATGTTACTTTTGTGCATTAAAGTACAAGTGAAGAAGTAATAAAAAGTTGATTGTACTATTTGTTTTCTTATTATTTCCAGCTTGAGTTTTTATGTGTTGACTATAGCCACAGGTAGTTATTTATACTCTGTAAACACATCCCGAGCTTGTCGCAATTCAAGCCAGGATACAAGGAACGACATCGACCCAGATTGGAATAACAGTGTTGGTTCTATCCTAGAGCTTACTCTATAAGCAAGAGTATTGCAGGACAGAACAGTGTATGCCCATTTTTTGCACAAAATTAGTGCTGGGAAATGAGGGGTCAATTTGTACAAAATTAGTGCTGGGAAATGAGGGGTCAATTTGTACAAAATTAGTGCTGGGAAATGAGGGGCCAATTTGTACAAAATTAGTGCTGGGAAATGAGGGGCCAATTTGTGCAAAATTAGTGCTGGGAAATGAGGGGTCAGTTTGTACAAAATCAGTGCTGGGAAATGAGGGGTCAAATTTTACAAAATCAGTGCTGAGATGAGGAGTCAAAATAATTAAGCTCGAAAAGCTGAAAACAACAATGGCCAATATCTCTTCAAAAACTTGGGATTATTTCAGGCAATTTAGAGCTCAATCCCACTGGTGAAACTTGAGAAGTTTAAAATGTAAAAAGTTTACATACAACAGACGGCACATGATGACGGATGAAGCACAATGGCTATAGCTCATCATAACCCTAGGGCAAGGAGGAAGCTACATATGAAACTTCCATCTTGTACTTCATAGTGATAATAAACTTTCATTGTCAAGATTCAAGATGGCCACCTGTCTACTATTTTGTTTTCCTAATCAGTTCCAAAATCAAGAGGGCACAATTGAGGACCAAAGGGAACCTACATATGAAATTTGAGAAAGATCCATCCAGTACTTCTCGAGAAATAGCAACAGCAAACTTTTGTAATCAAAATCCAAGATGGTTGCCTTTCAGCAATTTCATTTTTCTAAGAAATCCCTAAGTTAGATAATGCACAACAAGGGACCATCGGGAATCACAACATATTAAATTTGAGAATGATCAATCACCTTTTAAGAAATAGTGAGAAAAAACTATTACTGTCAAAATCCAAGATCGGCCATGTTGATTTTCAGATCAGTCCAAATATTGGAACAATACACAACTAGGAGAATGAACCATTGACTGCTTCTCAAGAAATAGCAATAACTTAATATTATATCAAAATCCAAGATATCCACCTATGAACCGGGTTAAAAATTGGGACAATGTACAACTAGGGACGAAGGGGAACACATATATGAAATTAAAAAAAGATCCATCCAGTGCTTTTCAAGAAATGGTGATAATGAAAGGTGATTTGAATAGTCCACTATGATAGTGGGCTAAAAACCGTCATAGCTGAAGGTCAGTGCTGAGACAAACTCAAATAGAATGATGCATTACAAGTTGTACTTCTGTTGTTTTATAGCTATAATTATCTTTTGCTTGGGACATGTCTTTACAATGAAATTGATTGTAACGTGGGATGAGCCTCTGCCCAGCATATCCGGAAATCAACACAGCTATATAACACAATGAACATATAATACAGTTTATTTACATAGAAAACACACAGAAAACTATCAACATACTCGCACTCACAATCATACTCCATTCATACACCTTAGCAACATGTAAAGATATCTACAGTCTCTTCACTGACAGGTATGTCTCACAAATACACAGCCACAGTGTGTAAGACTCAAACAAACCAACCCCTTAGTCGGACTCTCAGTTCCTAAGTCCCTAACAGCTTGCTAGTGATGCACACGTATCGCGCATCTCTCCCCTCTGTGGAGCTGGTGACTGGGATATCAACACTAAAAGGTCTCCCGAGGGGCTACATGCCAGCCTGTTCTGGAGACAATCCCTCCTGCAGCTGACCTTAATGTCAGTCGGTCCAGTTACTGCATACGGAAGACCTGGCGCTCCAATAATGCTGACCTTCTGTATCCTTCTGTATCCTTTACAGCGTTGTACCCGCCATGTGAAACCCAGTCAGATATCTGGGCTCCTTTTCATGCCAAAAATGACGCCAATTTCCCATGAAATAGGCCAACAGGTGATGTAACACAACGGCCATACTGCCCACCTGGACAGGCGAGACTTGCTGTTTACGCTTACTGCTCACACAGTCGCTCACGTGACCCACACAACACCACAATACCCAGGTAACATACAGATGTACGTGACATTGATAAAGAAGAAAAAGTTTAAATTAGAACATATTTATTTACCAGTGTATCAAATTAAAAAATATTTATTTACCAGTATACACTATCATACAACAAAAGGCCCAATGGGCCTGTACTGCTCACCTGCTATTCAATACTTTTCACATATATTACATAATTTCAAATCTTCGACATTCATCCAAAGAACCTACCAGCCAATCTTTATGATCCTAGTTTGAAGGTTTTCACAAATTTGACACTTGTGACCTTGAAGAGGGGTCTGGGTCAATTTTGTTTTAAACGCTACCCCAATCAGCCAAATATCATGATTCTAGGCCTTTCGGTATCAAGAAGTTCTTAAAACAGAAAAGTTGACACCAGATGGACAATGGCCACTGCAACAAAGCCAAAAATCTGCACCAATGTACCCAGCTAGTATGTGCAAACATTTCATAGGATGTATTTGATCTGCCTTTTCTTACAACCAGAGAGTTATTGCACTATTCTGTCACATCAGCTATCACATGTAAGTAACAAGTCAATGATAATTGTGTTGTCATGTGACCCACACTTCCTAAGGAATAAATAATTGATGATCACGGTGTTGTCATGTGACCCACACTTCCTAAGGAATAAATAATTGATGATCACTGTGTTGTCATGTGACCCACACTTCCTAAGGAATAATTAATTGATGATAACTGTGTTGTCATGTGACCCACACTTCCTAAGGAATAAATAATTGATGATAACTGTGGTGTCATGTGACCCACACTTATAAGGAATAAATAATTGATAATAACTGTTGTCATGTGACCCACACTCCTAAGGAATAAATAATTGATGATAACTGTGGTGTCATGTGACTGACACTTCCTAAGAAATAAATAATTGATGATAACTGTGGTGTCATGTGACCTACACTTCCTAAGGAATAATTAATTGATGATAACTGTGTTGTCATGTGACCCACACTTCCTAAGGAATAATTAATTGATGATAACTGTATTGTCATGTGACCCACACTTCCTAAGGAATAAATAATTGATGATAACTGTGTTGTCATGTGACCTACACTTCCTAAGGAATAATTAATTGATGATCACTGTGTTGTCATGTGACCCACACTTCCTAAGGAATAAATAATTGATGATAACTGTGGTGTCATGTGACCCACACTTCCTAAGGAATAAATAATTGATGATCACTGTGTTGTCATGTGACCCACACTTCCTAAGGAATAATTAATTGATGATCACTGTATTGTCATGTGACCCACACTTCCTAAGGAATAATTAATTGATGATAACTGTGTTGTCATGTGACTGAAACTTCCTAATGAATAAATAATTGATGATCACTGACTGTGTTGTCATGTGACCCACACTTATAAGGAAAAAATAATTGATGATAACTGTGTTGTCATGTGACCCACACTTCCTAAGGAATAAATAATTGATGATAACTGTGGTGTCATGTGACCCACACTTCCTAAGGAATAAATAATTATGATAACTGTTGTCATGTGACCCACACTTCCTAAGGAATAAATAATTGATGATAACTGTTTTGTCATGTGACCCACACTTCCTAAGGAATAAATAATTGATGATAACTGTGTTGTCATGTGACCCACACTTCCTAAGGAATAAATAATTGATGATCACTGTGTTGTCATGTGACCCACACTTCCTAAGGAATAATTAATTGATGATAACTGTGTTGTCATGTGACCGACACTTCCTAATGAATAAATAATTGATGATCACCGTGTTGTCATGTGACTGAAACTTCCTAAGGAATAATTAATTGATGATCACCGTGTTGTCATGTGACCTACACTTGCTAAGGAATAATTAATTGATGATCACTGTGTTGTCATGTGACTGACACTTCCTAAGGAATAAATAATTGATGATCACCGTGTTGTCATGTGACCTACACTTGCTAAGGAATAATTAATTGATGATCACCGTGTTGTCATGTGACCTACACTTGCTAAGGAATAAATAATTGATGATCACCGTGTTGTCATGTGACCTACACTTGCTGAGGAATAATTAATTGATGATCACCGTGTTGTCATGTGACCGACACTTCCTAAGGAATAAATAATTGATGATCACTGTATTGTCATGTGACCCACACTTTCTAAGGAATAAATAATTGATGATAACTGTGTTGTCATGTGACCGACACTTCCTAAGGAATAAATAATTGATGATCACCGTGTTGTCATGTGACCCACACTTCCTAAGGAATAAATAATTGATGATCACCGTGTTGTCATGTGACCGACACTTCCTAAGGAATAATTATTTGATGATCACCGTGTTGTCATGTGAATAAGTCTTAGCCTTGTTTATTTTCCACTGTCACAGTCTCTCTGGAAACGAGTCTGTAAGTGACCACCTATTCGACCAGGTATATTTTAGACCGTCATAATCCCTCCAGAAACATAAGTCTGTTGGTGACCGTCTTCCTTCCATATTTTGTCCGGAGTGTGTCTAATGTGCTCTCCTCCACAGAACTCATCATCAGTCTTTCATCGTCACGGTGATCCCAGGCCGGTAATCCTAAAACATTTACAAATCCATTACATGCAACATCTTATCTAGGTACATACTGGCAGGTTTAATGCTTGGTAGTATATACCTACTGTTGTCCGGTAAAATTACCAACACAAATTTATTCCATTCTCCTCCAATAAGTCAATCCTATGAGTTCCCAATGGAATTTCGATTTTCTGCCCCTTGGCTTCTGACAGGATGACTTTCTAAGATGTTGATATAAGTTTTAAAACTTTCATACTTGTAAACTTTAAAAATTATAATGGGGGAGATTTCATTACTCATACTCAAAAATAAAAACTTCAATAAAATATATACATATACTCTCCTTTAAAGAAAGAACACTTGTAAATAGCATCTTTTGGGTTGTTTATTCAAATTAAATCATCAGATCTTATAATACAAGAATAACTTAGCAAATTCACTTGTTGAACATAGCAAAATAAGGGGTTCAAAATCAGATGTCTTCTCCAAACCAGGGAGGAATGGCAAGTATCAAGTCCTTTTGAGCAATCTCTGGACTTTGTATTACTAAACCTAACCTTGTAACAGTGACAGTAATATATTTAGGAGTCACAAAGTACTCATAGAAAACATCATTAGGTAGAGATAAAAGGCTTCACAACTGAACACAGGAAAACCAAGGCACTTTATCACACTACCACGTAAACCAAGGCACTTTATCACACTACCACGTAAACCAAGGCACTTGATCACACTACCATGTAAACCAAGGCACTTGATCACACTACCACGTAACCAAGGCACTTGATCACACTACCACGTAAACCAAGGCACTTTATCACACTACCATGTAACCAAGGCACTTGATCACACTACCACGTAAACCAAGGCACTTTATCACACTACCACGTAACCAAGGCACTTGATCACACTACCACGTAAACCAAGGCACTTTATCACACTACCACGTAAACCAAGGCACTTTATCACACTACCACGTAAACCAAGGCACTTTATCACACCACCACGTAAACCAAGGCACTTTATCACACCACCACGTAAACCAAGGCACTTTATCACACCACCACGTAAACCAAGGCACTTTATCACACCACCACGTAAACCAAGGCACTTTATCACACTACCACGTAAACCAAGGCACTTTATCACACTACCACGTAAACCAAGGCACTTTATCATACCACCATGTAAGTTTAATACCTATGGGTAGATTTTAATAAATACCTGCTGTGTTGAGGCCAGTCTCTATCCAGCTCATCGTGTCGTCACAGCAGCCATTGTTGATGAAGAGAGCATGAAGCACCTGTTTAGCTGTCAGATCATATTTTTTCATCAGGTCCTGTTCAAAGAAACAATGGGCATCAGAAATTATTTGTCCGATCACTGTACTTAATTCTAAACAAGAAAGTGTGAAAGTCTTATTACTGTAAGGTCAGTCGTATTCATGGGGCTCATAAACACCTGAATATCTTGGATTAAGAGCATCTCTGAATTCAATAAAAATAAACCCACACCAAACTAACGATTTAACAGTAAGTCCCCTGTCTGAACTTACTCTACCTTAACCCCACCCAAACTAATGATTTAACAGTAAGTCCCCTGTCTGACCTTACTCTACATTAACCCCACCCAAACTAATGATTTAACAGTAAGTCCCCTGTCTGACCTTACTCTACATTAACCCCACCCAAACTAATGATTTAACAGTAAGTCCCAACCCCGCCCCCTCCAAAACAAAAAAATAATGATTTTACAGGAAGTCCCCTGTCTTACCTTGCTCCACATTCAAACATATAAACCATTATCTTAACCAAATGAAAACCTTTTATTTCAAAATACATTGATTCAGTTGTATAAAATTATCAAAGTACAGAAATGACTGAAAGGATAAACATGTTGGTGATATATGTATTTGTCGTTTTTAATGTGAAACATAACCAATAGTATGCCAAACAACCAATGACTCTTTTAGCAGATGACCACAAAAAGTTATTTGAAACTCTTGAAAGATCGTGGCACTATTTGCAGTATACAACCGTTGCTAGGTAATATGACAAAATTATAGGCTTTGGTCAACCTATCAAAAAGCTAGGATTAATAGTAATTTAACACCGAGTTCCAAAGGTTGAGACGATATTCTGAAACCATAACTGGTTACTTTGAGCCTAAAAATAATACCAAAGGAAAATACTTATATACACGTTTTTTTAAAATGAATTATGCACTACACCATTAAATTTCTTCCATTACACTTATAACTGAGCCTCAAGTTCAAGGACATGTATAGCTGATATAAACATTTTTATGAATTTGATCAAAATTTGTCTGGCAGAGTGATGACAAAGACCATGAAAAACACAGATAAAAACATTCCTGATATTCTTTGATGTACATTTGATGGATCTCTGAACATCATCTTTATATGGCCTTCTCCTCCTCCACGAGAAAACAATCTGATAACCAAGTATCCAGTAAAACACCTGTTGTTCTCTGTAAAAATGTCCTTTTATTTCCATACCTTAACAAAGTAGATGGTCTCCTCTATTTCTTCCTCTTTAACATCTTTCTGGTCTTCCTCCTCGCTGCTTTCTTTTTCTAAATTGTGGATGGTTCTCTCTGAAGGAGCGAATTCATCTGAAAGTTTGAATTCAATTTAGTATTTTTGAGGAATAAGTAATGCTCCCAGAGGGCCAACCTTACTTTAAACAAAATCAGACAATATCCCAATATCTACCAATCAGCAGCCTCAATTATGGTTCCAATCAGTAAAGTTATACCGCGTCATGGCAAACTGATAAAAGCACTGATGAGCTAGGGCCATATTACACAAAAACTTGAGTATTTTGACCTAGCCACCATGGCAACCAAAATTTCTACCAAGTAAAACTTGCATGCACATGAACATTCTTGTGTGGTTTCACTGAATGCGGTCCAGAGGTTAGAGAGGAGTTAACTGAACAAGATTTGTGGAAATCCAGACAAGGTGATTCCAGTCTCTCAACTTCATTGTGGGAGGTATGGTTATTTCAGTACAATTTCAACATTATATTCTATAAAAAACAAGAAAAACTTTTTCTTACCAAAATATTTCAGTTGGAAAATCTTATCTTCTTCAGATTCGAAGAATTTCTCCATAACATAGTCCAGCCGTTTAGCTGAAACAAATTGAAGAGCTTTGGTTTTTTTTTCAACTTCCAGGTACCTGCATAAAGCTATAAAGTTAGTTTAAATCTTGAGAACAATATGGCATTGAGAAAGATACAAATTCCCTTACAGTTCCACCTGACGTGGCCTTAATTTTGACCCTATAACCTTGCAAAATAAAGTTGTCTGTGATATTATGGTCCTTTATATGAATTTTTGATCTTTCACGATAGATTCCTAAGGGAATTCAGCCCATTGAGTGCCGGGAAGTGTTTTCTAAAAATAGCATGTGACTTTGACCTTACAAGCCTGGATCTCCATATTCTCTGAGATATATCAGTCCATTATAAGTGTGTAATGATTGATTGAAATGCCTCAAACAAGAGATCCCAGAGGGATCTTGGCGCCCACCATCTGAGGATCTGTTTTCAGTTCTTGAAGATTTGTTTATTTTTTTTTGTTTGTTACAGGTGTTGTAAATGTTCATGAACTGGTCTTCATTGAATGTACTCAATGATGGCACAAGATATTTTTATTAAGCACCTATTAGCAAATATTTGAAAAAGATCCCAAAGTATTATTAGATAGCAGTCAGTTACAGGTGGATAATGGACAATATGCTTGTGCTGTATTACTGTCAACATCCAAGATGGCTGCCTGTGGGCCACCTTGATTTCAAATCAGTCCAAAAAAGGTACAATGCACAACTAGGGACCAAGGGAAACCAATATCTATGAAATATCAGAAGGATCCATCCAGTACTTCCTCAGATATAGCAGTAACAAGATTTCACTCTCAAAATCCAAGATAGCTGCCTGTCAGCCATCTTGATTTCGGATCAGTCCAAAAAGGTACAATGCACAACTAGGGACCAAGGGGAACCTGCATATGAAATTTGAGAAAGATCCATCCAGTACTTTCCAAGAAATAGCGGTAACAAACTTTTACATCCAAAACCTAAGATGGCCACCTGTCGGCCATCTTGAATTCGAATCAGTCCAGAAAAGGTACAATGCACAACTAGGGACCAAGGGGAAACTGCATATGAAATTTGAGAAAGATCCATCCAGTCCTTTTCCATAAATAGCGGTAACAAACTTTTACTTCCAAAATCCAAGATGGCCACCTGTCGGCCATCTTGAATTCGAATCAGTCCAGAAAAGGTAAAATGCACAACTAGGGACCAAGGGGAAACTGCATATGAAATTTGAGAAAGATCCATCCAGTCCTTTTCCATAAATAGCGATTACAAACTTTTACTTCCAAAATCCAAGATGGCCACCTGTCGGCCATCTTGAATTCGAATCAGTCCAGAAAAGGTAAAATGCACAACTAGGGACCAAGGGGAAACTGCATATGAAATTTGAGAAAGATCCATCCAGTCCTTTTCCATAAATAGCGGTAACAAACTTTTACTTCCAAAATCCAAGATGGCCACCTGTCGGCCATCTTGAATGCGAATCAGTTCAAAAAAGGTACAATGCACAACTAGGGACCAAGGGGAACCTGCATATGGAATTTGAGAAAGATCCATCCAGTACTTTTCCAGAAATAGCTGTAACAAGAATTGTTTACGGACGGACGGACAGACCACGGACGCAGGGCGATTTGAATAACCCACCATCTATTAGATGGTGGGCTAAAAATGAAGCTGCAAGAACACTGAAAATAATTTTCTTAAATAAGTGGCTTTGACCTTGACCCTTGAACCCTGTAATTTGAACTTTCCAAGATATGATAGTCAGCAAGTAAAGTTTGATAAAAATCCCTTAAGAAATGAAGCCACTTGAGTGCTGAAAAGGATTTTCTAAAAATAGTAAATAACAGTACCAGTGACCTTAACCTTAACCCAAGAAACCTGAAATTCAAAGTCATCTGAGATATAATGGTCAATTACTTAGTGTTTGAAGTATGATGAAAAAAAAAGCTGCTAGAGATAAGGATAAGTGTTGTGTTCCTACATATGTATATGTATGGAAGCATTCCTATGTTTCCTTCCAGAAATTCATGGTGGGCGGATAATAAGTTCTCAGAATCATATTCTTCTCATCTTCCTTGCTTTGAACCACAGAAATGATCGAATCCCAAAATACTTCAGTCAGGAATATATGGGATATCATTTTTTAATTGTTTACATACATAGTTTAACCAATAGAATCTGAAAACACAAGAATAATATAAATAAAAATCTATCAATTAAAACACAAGTTTTTATCTTCAATAATGACACATTTCTCCTGAGTTTTAAATGCTGATCAAACCACAGTCAAAATCAGTAACTGTTGTGTAGGTTTATTTTCCTTGATGGTACTCTAAATAAACATATGTCCGCCAAATGATAAACAGTTTGGAATATTGTCTTATTGAGTTTGTGAGTATTACTAATCCACATAATCAAATGTCAACATTTTTTTGAGTGAAAATATATACTGTGTTTATAGTACATGTACTTACAACATCAGAGCTGCTGTAGTATTCACATTTTTTAAGAAACCAAACTAAACATAATTACTTGTAATTATTGTGGACAGACAAATGTAAAAACACCAGAGTCTAGCTTCAATTTCCCTATTATGACAGGAAAGAAACTAAAAATTGAAATAGTCAAGTTGACTCTGCTGATGAGCTTTCTCCTGAAGTAATACAAGTATTGTGATACTGATATCAAGTTTTCAAATTCTAATGCAAAAACTTACATGTGGAAATTTTTCAAAGACCAATTAGGTGAGAAAGACAAATTCCCTTTTTCAGCAAATATTATGCGATCTGCCAATGATCAGGTTTTTATTTTAAGTTTTGGTTCCACATCAATATATGTCCACACTTGTACCACAAAATGTTAACCAAGGATAGCCTGATCATAAATTTATAATCCTACTATAAAACAGAATATCAACGTCATGCAAAAATTTCGTTATTTACAAAAAGCTGATTTTCATTAGCATGTGCAAATTCCATGAAAATAAAAACACCACAAATAATGATGACACAACAGTAACCCTGACCCCTCATTCTTGATGTAAATGAGTTTATAGTAGCAGTGTGCCTCCTGTATAACTGTACCTTTATCAGATGTATGGTGCAGTCCATTAGCATTCTTCACATTGGACCTTGATAAAGGCAGGGGTGATTTTGCTGAAGACGGCTTTAGAGTGCCTTTGTCTCTCTGTTTTTCAACCTGTAATACATGTCACAAGAAACTGAATTCAGTGGTTCTCTAATAATACAGCCATCAAATGGCTGTTAACTTTACTTCCAAACTTAATCGTTCATCATTCTATGGCTAGATCTAACTTTTTTTTTAATATATGGAAAAGGATGTTGATCTCTGTGGTGCCATGATTACACAGAGATATGTCTAACTTTTGTAAAGCTTGATTCTAACAAAAGATTATTTATCAACAAAATAATATAGAACAATAAAGTATTGTTTATCTATACACAGATCTACTTTGAATAAATAAAATATTGTTTATCTAAACACAGATCTACTTTGAATCAATAAAGTATTGTTTATCTAAACACAGATCTACTTTGAATAAATAAAATATTGTTTATCTAAACACAGATCTACTTTGAATAAATAAAGTATTGTTTATCTAAACACAGATCTACTTTGAATCAATAAAGTATTGTTTATCTAAACACAGATCTACTTTGAATCAATAAAGTATTGAATCAATAAAGTATTGTTTATCTAAACACAGATCTACTTTGAATAAATAAAATATTGTAATATTGTTTATCTAGTTAAAAGATAGATCATAATAACCAAACTGATTGTTTGTCATTAATTAACTGCAAAAGACCCTTTAGTTTGTGATTTTTTTTTCATTATTTTGTTTGGTTGTGATAAAACAGGGAAAGTTTACCATACTGGGTTGATTAACAGATGTCTTTGGTCTCTTCTTCAGTCTAGTAATGGAATCACTGGCTTCCTTACTTGACTGGGATGATGAGTCAAAACATTGTTTGACATTGTTTGTTTTCCTTTTCCTCAGTGAAGGACCGTCATGTTGACCTACTTCCTCGTCCATTTTCTGCATACCCTTATTTAAATCATCAGAAAGTTGAGTCGATTTTTGTTTAGTTTTTCCTATCTCTACACTATTTTCCTTCGCACTTTTTTCCTTCGGTGATAAAAATTCAGACATAGCTTTCTTTGGTGGTGAGGATTTTTCTTTATCTGACTTCAGCACATCTTTCAACACAACTCGGATAGAGTAACTCCCCTTTTTTGGAGACTCTGTAGTTACACTATCCAGTAAGTATTCATCAAAAGAATCTCCGTGTCCACTCTCCACTTGCTTCAGAGAACATTCTATATAAAGAAAATAGCATTTCACATCTGTACACAACTACATAAACAACAGTAACAGGCAGTTATTTTCAAGCACTAAACACATATAATCTTCCACTTTTTGATGTTAACATGTTTTTTGCAGTAAGTCCATCGGTATGTATATTTTTGTTTAATCACTTGTCTGCTGGGTTTATCACCCTTGAACAGCCAAGATCCTTTTGAGATAATATGTCCCTCAACTACCTCACTGAACAACAAACAGGAGGCCCATCACACACCATCCAGTTCGATAAGGATTAAGTGTTTTGACCAATTTAATGAAAAGCAGAATTTAATGATTTAATGTAAGATAACGTAGAGCCAAACAATGCAGTGGTTTTGTCCTTCTACGACAAGTCAGCGATGCTAAGGGCATGAATTTTTAAGCGTAAGATGTGAATGAGGAAAATCCAAAGTGATCGAAAGAAAAATAAAAATCTAGATCAGGAGGTGCAGCAGCCCCATAATTAAATGAATCTTATTTAGAACTGCATCAAGTACATGTGTACATAGACTGGTCCTGAGAAACACAAACTGCCATTGGTAGGGACCATTGAACCAGTGAGAGCAACAAACCATACACTTCAGATCTTTACTTCAGGGCCAACACTCCAGACACTAAATTGTTGCAGGCCTCTATGGTGTATGTTTGCTACAAATGGTCTATCAGTTATAACATATTCTTATATTCCAGATAATAGACATGGTTGTATCCAAAATATTGTCCAAAATTAATGTTGTTAAAAATTCCACAAAAGTAATTAATAATATATTTAAGGGTATATGGTACATCAAATACTTTAATCATTACATATATTAGATTTATCTCCCCTGATAAAACATTTATGCAATTGTTACTTGTGCAGAAATCTTTTGGGTATTGAAATAAATTCTCACAAAGAAGCATGTATCCTTCAATAATATATATATGTATCAACATTATGACCTCACCAGTGTGTTGTACCGTATTCCTGAATTATCAAAGTGTCTCTGATGGCTTTACAAAGGAAAAATTGTATTATGATGTCAAGGAGGTTTTTCTTTTAATATTATACTGTTGAAAAGCAAATGAGAGCATGAAATTGTCATTTTACCAAACTTCATCTATTTTTATTTCAACTCCTTCAATAAAAACAATGATCTATTATAGTTCTTTGTGTTGCACATTTATGGCCTTTTAGTTTTATGGTTAAATATAATGCATATTCCTGGAGAATGTTTAGTTAGTGCTGATCATTCTTCAAAGAATGATGTAGAAGTCTTCTTTTCTAACCTAGAAAAAACATATATAATGAGGAGCCTTTTTCAGCTTCAAAACAGATGAGTGCGGACCCAAAGAACCAGGATTCCTTTTTGCCTGATATATTTCATGATCAAATAATATACACGTTTAATCTTTGTTAAAAGTTAGAATACTGTCTCATGTAAAACAATACAATATCCTCTAACAGTCATCATTTGGTTCTCACAAAATTTATCAAGCTGGCGAGTTAAAATGATAAATATTTCCAAGATAACTATTATTTAAAATCAGAGATTTAACAATTTAACAGCTCAGTGTCTTATGATGGTGGATCAATGACAATACTCTTGCCATTTTTCTGTCTTGATAAAATCTGTGGTTGGATTTTGTTTAAATTAGGGTACAGAACTACAATTTGACAAAAAGTAGATACCTGTGATATATTTTGTTTTCTTGGTAAATAAAAACTTGAGATTACTGGACACATTGTATGAATCTAACTTTGGCAGGATTTTCTTCCTAAATCTGTCCTTCATGGACTCAGCTGAGTGTTCAGTAACCTGGAATTCAAACCGATACATGTACATATACAGCCATTATAAAATTATCAAACCAACTGACTGAATTTTTTCAAACCTAATAATCATTTGAAAATATTTTTGTTTATATTTTTTAAATATGCAGAATGATGTGAGGAAGCCTTTTCGACCTGACTACATCAATCAACAATTTTCATTTTCTGAACATTAGATTTTGCAGACCTGGTACATGACCAGAATAAGTATCACTTGTGGTAACAATCATGAAGAATTGCAGCATCCATTTTGTTTACAATACATGCAAATATTGTACATACCTGAAGTAAACTCATAGTTTGCCACACCTTCAGGCCATTCCACATAGAGATAGATTCCCTGTTCTTCTCGAAATAGTTCAGAATGGACAGGTCCTCTTGCAAGGTATATTTTTGACGTCTACAACAAATAAATTTTTGTTTTTGTTTGAGTTAAATATTTCAACCTTTGAGTAATCATTTTTTTATGAAAAGATCGACATTAGTGTTTTTTGCATTCTAATTGAAGGGCCCAGAGCTGGATCCAAGAAGGATTTCTACTTCGAATAATACCACAATTATCCTGCAAAACTTACAGGGGGCAAAACTTGTTGGCTCTAAATCAAGGTAATGGAAGGAGGGAGGGGGGAAAGAAGGGGCTTATGACCAGACAATTGTTTGTTTGTTGAGCGTTCATCATCCCATGAACTGTCTGGGTCAAATCTGAGGTCAGATCTTCTTCTAGCAGCTTTTGGCAACCTCACTAAACAACATACAGAGGCCTGTCACATGTCATCTAGAGAACTGGGGATAAGTGTCTTACCCAAGGACACAACCATTTCAGCACAGACATGTCTGTTTCTCAGCTTCCTATGAAACACAAACTGCCGAAGGTAGGGAGGGTCAAATTACACTCTCTAGATCTACATCTGAGGTTGTGTAGGCCAACACTCCACTGACGGCCCTATTGTGATATTAAGCATTGGAAGAGTATTTCTTGGTAACAATACTACAATAAATATGAGTGATCTTCTCTGCAGTAATTAACTTATCTGCCAATTACAGACTCTTCCTACCCTAATGGAAGTGTTCCTGTTTTCTGGATTTTGGCAGCAGGACTGAGGTCATCTGAAATTTCTACCTCATCTAAAGAATGGTCAGCACTGCATTTCTTTGGTTTTAATCTGAAACAAAAAAAAAAATCTTTTAAATTTAACTAAAATTTCCTTGGTTATACTTTCAACTTAGATACAATTTATTAAAATTTGACAAAATTTCTTTCTTACAAAATACATTTCCTTAACAAGAGATCCCAGAAGGATCTTGGCACCCACCATTGTTTGATCTATATCTGCTTTTTGAAAGTTGGAAATTTTCCTTTCTTTTCGCTTCTCTCTGTTTTCGCTCTTAATGATATGAAATTTGAACATTCCTTAGCAATGATAATCTTTACCTGCCAAATCCTAGATACTGTCGGCCATTTTATTTTTGTGATAAGTTCAAAACTGAAACAGGCACAACTAGGGACAAAGGGGAACCTATGTATAATATCTGAGATATAAGTATGAAGCATTTCTCAAGAAGCAGAAATAACAAACTTTCAAAATCAAAATCCAAGATGGCCACTTGTTGGCCATGTTCTTTTTCTGCTCAGACCCAAAATCAAGTGGGAGCAATCAAGGACTAAGGGTCCCCTACACTTGAAATTGGATAAAAATCTATGCATTTATTCTCTAGTAATAGTGATAACAACGTTTCAAAGTGAAAGATGGCAGCCTGTCAGCCATTTTGTTTTTCTGATCATTCCAAAAATCAAACGGACACAAGTAGGGACAAAGGGAAACTTACATATGAAATCTGGGAAAGATCCATCGAGTACTTCTCAAGAAATAGCAACAACAAACTTTACTTGGTGAAATAAAAGATGGCCGTCTGTCGGCCATTTTGTCTTTATGATTAGACCTAAAATCAAATGGGCACAACTAAATAGGGATAACAAACTTTACACAGCGAAATCCAAGATGGCTGCCTGTCAGTCATTCTACTACCCAGATCAGTCCCAAAATCAAACAGGCACATTTAAGGACCAAGAGGAATCTATACAATTTTCAGAAATAATACGGTCAAAATTAGGTGCAAACTTAACAGGACATCTTCTAAATAATACAGATGTGACTTCCAGATGACCCTTTACAACACATGATTCTGAAAGGCTATCTCAGATATTTGATGAAAACCATGAACCATGATGGTTTACAATGGTATTCTACAGACACACCTGTATTTATCTATAGCCAGGAGTTTATTACAGGGATTATAAATGGTATTCTACACACACACACCTGTATTTATCTATAGCCAGGAGTTTATTACAGGGATTATAAATGGTATTCTACACACACACACCTGTATTTATCTATAGCCAGGAGTTTATTACAGGGATTATAAATGGTATTCTACACACACACACACACCTGTATTTATCTATAGCCAGGAGTTTATTACAGGGATTATAAATGGTATTCTACACACACACACACCTGTATTTATCTATAGCTAGGAGTTTATTACAGGGATTATAAATGGTATTCAGGGATTATAAATGGTATTCTACACACACACCTGTATTTATCTATAGCCAGGAGTTTATTACAGGGATTATAAATGGTATTCTACACACACACCTGTATTTATCTATAGCCAGGAGTTTATTACAGGGATTATAAATGGTATTCTACACACACACACCTGTATTTATCTATAGCCAGGAGTTTATTACAGGGATTATAACACACACACCTGGTATTCTACACACACACACCTGTATTTATCTATAGCCAGGAGTTTATTACAGGGATTATAAATGGTATTCTACACACACACACCTGTATTTATCTATAGCCAGGAGTTTATTACAGGGATTATAAATGGTATTCTACACACACACACCTGTATTTATCTATAGCCAGGAGTTTATTACAGGGATTATAAATGGTATTCTACACACACACACCTGTATTTATCTATAGCCAGGAGTTTATTACAGGGATTATAAATGGTATTCTACACACACACACCTGGATTACACACACACACCTGTATTTATCTATAGCCAGGAGTTTATTACAGGGATTATAAATGGTATTCACACACACACACTGTATTTATCTATAGCCAGGAGTTTATTACAGGGATTATAAATGGTATTCTACACACACACACTGTATTTATAGCCAGGAGTTTATTACAGGGATTATAAATGGTATTCCACACACACCTGTATTTATCTATAGCCAGGAGTTTATTACAGGGATTATAAATGGTATTCTACACACACACACCTGTATTTATCTATAGCCAGGAGTTTATTATCTTTCACACAATCCAGGATATACTTCGTTGATATATAATCTTCTGATGAAATCTGGTCTGTCTCTACAGCAAGCCTGTAAAACAGTGAAAACATTAAAAAAGAACACAGAAATTATAGCAAAAGTATACATATGGTATTTACTACTTGTGGGATGGCTTTCTTGTTGTATAGAAATGTTCCTGGTATCTTATTGAAAACTCACAGATCACAACTTTTCAAAACTCACAACAGGAGATCACAACTGACTTTGAATAAATCATTGTATATAATATATGTACCATTAGATTGAAGCTTCCAATGAAAAAATAGTTTGAATCAGTAAAATTAAATTAAATACTTTTTTTTAAAGTTCATAAAGAATTTTAAATTTCATTTTTAATTTATATGCTTGGTATTTAAGATTTCAAAGTTTCTTAAGGTAAATCCTCCATAAAAAAGCTGTTTTTGTCTTCAAATATCTGAAAAGGTTATATTTTCATAATTCTTCTCAGACTGAACGTAAGAACAGCTGTACAAAACACGAAATATCAAAGCCTGGTGTTTCCCAAAATTTGCAGGAAATTCTAATCTTCTCAAGTCATAAGAAGTTGAAGGCATATTGAAATATATCATACAACTACTTTTCCTTTCTTTTAACTTTTAAAGAATATGAAATTTCAAAACTTTGAAAACATCTACGGGGAAAGTTTATCCAGCAATGAGAGTGTAATTTAGTTCTGCTAGAAGTAAAATATAAAAAATAACCAAATATTTAGGATTTCTTACATTTTAATTTGGAATGTCTAGATTTTCATCATGTAATGAGAATCAAGGACAAAATAGAGAAAAATAAAGGGTAAGTAGATCTTACTTGATGCATTTTTTGGTTACTTTGACAGTCATCCCTCCGCCTCCATTCTGTAAGAACAATAAGATAAAATAAAGTCTACTTTTTATCAATTAAACTGTAATGTACATAATACTTTAATATACAAAGTACAGGGCATATTCTACTAATCTAAGAATCATAAAATTGAAAGTTTTAGCAAATATAAAGCAAATTCTACATTAAGAAACACTTTTACTCTTCCTTTCATTTAAATATAAAATGCAAGCTCTTTTCACTCCTATGATTATTTCCAAGTTATGATGTGGCTTTATTGCATGTACTGACTGTAATATTACAAGGCATTTTTCTGATTTTTCATTGACATACTATGTAAACTAATGTAATCACAATGTTGAAGTAAAAGCTGTTTATCTTGCTTGCTCAAATCCCTTCTCTCCCCAAACAATTGACATTTTGACAGAAAGACATCCTACATCAGAAATATGTCCATCTTTAATGTATAGTAATAATGTTGACTTCAGAGGAAACCCTGGTTACCTGTATATAAAGTGTATATTGTTTTCATGATATGCAGCAAGCACTAACACCTTTGACAGAGGTTGAACAAACTCTGTATGACATTCTTATTTGCCAACTTTATTTAAAAGCTATCCATTTCGTATACTCTTATTACATACCAGAGTAAATGAGTTATTATTTAGCAGTTCCATAGCTACAGACAGACCCCACAAACACCAACGGAAACCACAGCTTAAATAAGTGCTGACATTTTGTGATAAAAAAACTAGACCAGTCAATGCATATTGTGCCCCTAACATAGCTCCTTAATGACTTGGAAATGGTACAAACAAGAGTTGCATCCCTTCGCAAATGTGATAATCATGGGGTCCTTAACGTGGAGACTGTACAACTACCTCTTGATATTTTCATAGAAATCAAGCAGCTGGGTGACTGGTATTCAAGTTACCTCCCTTGTGTGAAGGTACCACAAACATTGCTGTAGCTCATGCTGTATTCCATTATTACTTGAATATGATAAGTTACCATATCATTCACAGATACAAGATTATGTGTTTTAGTTCATTTAATGAATAGTTCACATTCAAACTCAGAAGAGCAGAAAATATGTTAGTTTAAAACTGAAGGATTTCACCATGTATATGTTGAAGAAGTGCCCAATTCTGGTGTATTTGTTTTTTAATATTTTTTTTTGTTTATTTTTTGTTTGTTTGAATTAGTTGAATTCTGATCAATTGTTTTGTTATAAAATGGTATGGATTGGAATTCGCTCATGCTATGTGAACCAGTTTTAAAGGTCAGAGGGGAAATCTATTTTGTGCATTCCACACACAAACTTAAACACCTGTTTTGGTTTTGAATGATGGTGGTTCTGTCTTTTTCTTTCTGCTGTCAACTTTTGAGTTCTGGAATCTTTTGTGAGTACAGACTATGTTTAATACCTTGTCTTTTTTTGTCTGATCGTAAATACTTTTATTCATATGGAAAAGTTATATCATAAATTCAGTAGATTCTGAATGATTTTGTCAAGTTGACAGATTTTTTGCTGTTTTTGCATATTTGAAATTCTTGTATCATTTTACTTTATAAAAAAAATGCTCTGGCATTTCATTTCAGTGAGGTTAAGTGTTCTTCAAATTCAAGTAAATGCTTATGTCTTAGATATATTTATCAATTGGTCAAATCTTGATAGTGTTTGTAGAATTAGCTCAATGTGTCCCCTGAATAAAGCCATCTTCCCATGTGAAGAGGTAGGTTTTACTATTTTTGTACATACATAAGCCTTTTGGGTATTTTTTAATCTTGTGAAACTTTTATATAGCTTGGCAATCATATTTGAATCACATTTTTTTTTGATTCATTACAATTTGCTTTATAAGTAATTGTACATCCTTCTTTGTTCTGCATTTTAGCACATACATATCTATTCCATGTATTGTGATCTGATGCTTGCCACTGAGCTATTCCTGCCATGTGCCAAGAGATCCATCCAGAGCAGCACATGCTAATACAATATTCCAAAACTTGAAGAGCAATCTTGTATATGTTATAATCCAACTACGTGGACACTAAAAGACAGTAATGAAGACCCAAATACAGTATAAAATCAACCTGTCAATAACCCTATCAATTTTGTTTTCAATGCAGACCAGAATGACTCCTACTTTTATTGGCTTTATGTATCTAAATGAAATGCTAATAGATACAGTACACTGTACACAGGCCTAGTTAAATTATAGCGTATATATATCTTCTTTCAGTCCCGATTCCTCTGTTTCGGTAATTACAGAAATCAGTAGGTATATATCCGCTTTTTTTAAGACTTTGCTTTTTTCATAATACAACAGTCATATGAACAAAAGATAAAATAAAACTACAATGATGTCTGATGCCGATAACAATTTCAGCATCAAATTATGTGTAACAAGTAGTAAAATTAAGAACAGGTAACGATTTTTGAATTATGGTTACCTCTACCAAAGGTTTTAGTGTTGTTTTTGCAGCACATGGTCGCATGTAAAATATGAGAGGTTCTCCGTTGTCATCGGTGAACAAAAATTTGCTGTAAGATTCCTTTTCTGCCGCCATGTTTTTGAAGAGTAATCAACGTTATTCAGGCGCTTAAATAAATTCTAATATCGCTGTGGGGGTCGGTAAATAATTCCGGATTATTAGGCTAAACGTACTCAGTACGCATATCCTATTGCGACGGCCTTTCAGACAAAATTTACCGAACCTGGCCTTCTCATTGGCTGAAATATCGAAAAGAGTTAGAGCCATCTAGCGGCAATTTTCTGTGTAAATAATGCCGCAATCTTAAAAAATCGCTATTTTAAAAGCATCCAAAATTACTTTATTTTTTAATAACAATACGATTACTATATATTTCAAACAAGAATCATAGTGTGGTTGAACTATTGATAAATTTAGAACAATTTATTTTACGGAATTCTCGACATGACGTAAGCTTACGGAACACTGTACGTTTGAATTGATAAGAAGCTAGTCTGGGGGCTTGGTTTGAATTATCAACTAACAGCACTTATAAACAAACAAAACTTACAAACAGAACATCAGTTTTGTTTTAATCCTTGTCGTTGTGGAAAGATCGTCTTAATACATAACATCACTTTACCTCATTAGACGTCACCGAATTGGACTGTTCGTCTCACGCGCACACCCGCCGATATGACACTTTTTCAGGTTTTTCACACCCACCGCCATGACACTTTTTCAAGTTTTTGAAGATAAAAAGTTTGCGCTTCGTAGGCAAGGTACATTTGGTGCTCATGATTTATGAATAATGTATTTTTAATACTGTACTGATCATGATGTTGACTCTGTTATAACTTATATTCTTTGTCTTTTATTATGATAAGTAAGGACTATTACTTTGCAATACATTTAAAATAGAGAAGTAGGTATAAAGTCCTTTCGATTTGTCTAAATCCTCATATTGATAGGATAGTAATTGCAACATTTTAGATATTTCAAAGGTTTTATTTAGTCAACTTCATCATAGAGCTATTTATCATTTGGCTTGTTGGCGATAAATATATGGTTGTGTATATTTTGTTATTTTTTTTTTACCTATTTTGATTTGTTCACATTATTGTCGTCAAATTTGAAATAAGAATTTAAGAAGATATAAAATCGCTTAAGAGTAAGAAAAATAGCCTCTGGTTCTCTTATTTTAGTAATTTTTGGATTCTAAAGTGTAGGAGTATGGGGAAAGTAATATAGCTTAGCGGTTATTTGTGAACATTTTTCAAAACGTTTAGCCTTTCAGTACTTTCAGTACTTTGATTATATATTGGTTAGGCGGATAAACTCGATGTACGCTGTTCAGTGTACAATCAATAAATACCTTGTATTGGTA